GCTGGCGGGGAGGCCTCAGCACGGCGGGGGCGGCGCGGGGCGCCTCGGCATGGCCGCGCACGGCTCTGCTCAGCGCCGGCGGCCGCCGAGCGGGGACCTGTGGGCAAGAGCAGAGGCGTCACGGGGCTCCGCTCCCCACGGGGAGGCGAGCGCCATGTCCCCACGCGAGCGGACGTGGCAGTGGAGCGGAGCTCCCTTGGGAGCCCTGCCTCTCCTCCCAGTGGAACTGGTGCCTTTGGAGCACACACGGCTTCGGCTTGTCCTGCAAGTGGAACCAACGCCACCGCAGTCGCCCAAGGGCTCAGTGACGATCCCCACAAGCAGATGCCTCGGTGGGATGGGACACCTCCTACAGCGTGGGACCCCCGTGGGTGGGTCCTTTGGGTCCAGTGGGTGGGTACTTTGGGGCAGGGTGGGTCCTTTGGAGCATCTTCCAGTCCAGGCTGGAAGGTCAAACACCCCAACACCAAGGTGCCCAGCTGCGCTCTGAGCCCCTGCACCCCGTTCCCACATAGGGCTTGTTCAGATGCTTCAAATSCCCCAATCTGTCAAGTAACCCTGCGCCCTCCCTGCTTTGCAGCCACCAATAGTGGGACGGTGCCACGTGCCCGAGGCCACCTGCAAGCCCGTCGCAGAGCCGGCGATGCGGTGCCACAGTGCTCGGAGGGTGAATCCCGGCCGCGTGTCCCTGCGAAGCCGGCGCAGGATCCCAAGCAGGATGCTGCTCACCCCATGGCTCAGGCCGCTCCGGAGCGCSGGGATGCCATGGCCGGTGGGCTGACGGCAGCAGCACGGGTTAAACGCCACGTCCGGCAGCGGGGAGGCCCCGTCCCCTCCCTTCCCCCTCGCTCCCGGCGGCCCGAGCGCGCCCGCGGAGGCGAATCCTGCCCGGCTGCAGGAACCCACGGCCAGCGGCACGGCCCAGGGCCTGGCCAAGGCGGTGAACCGCTCCGGGAAACCTCAGCAGCAGCCACTGCCGATGCTAATGGGATAAATAYAGAGCCCGAGGCCTGTCCGCCCGCAGCCTAATGGCCTTGGGCTCCCAGTGGCACTGGCAGCTGCCCGGAGCCGGACACCAGCGGAGGAGCCGTGGACGCGGGAGCCGGGGTGCCAGGCTGCCGTCTGGGGGCACCTCTCCAGCATGGGCCGCCCGCAAAACGGGCTGTGCAGTCCGAGCAGGGCCGGACAGCGGTGCCAGGGAGCGGGGGGTGCAGAGACACGCGGAGCAGTTTGCTCGGTGAGCCCCGGTGGCCAAGGCGGCCGGGTGGCAGCGTGCGGCCATCCCGCGCTCCTCAGGAGAACGCGCTCCTCCCATCTGCTCCACCAAAACTGCTCGGCGCATTTTGGGTTTCCCCTGCCCAAACCTTCYGGGACATCCAGGCACGGGAAAGCGCCAGCCCGGCGGTCCTTGGGGGAAAAGTTTGGGGAAAAGTTCCGCAGCTAGCGCCAAGGCGGCGGCGGGGACACTGCGGGGCCGGGGACACTGCGGGGCCCGCGACGGCGCGCACGATGCCCCCCCCCGCCTTCCCGCGCACCCCCCTCCCCGCCGCCGTCCCGCCCCCGGCGCCTCCCCATTGGCCGTCGGGGCTGCCAGTCGGGCCGCCGTGACGCCGCGCGCGGGGGCGGCGGGGGGAGCGAGCCGCATTCCTGGGCGTCGGGGCCGCCCCCCCGAGTCCCGGCCCCCGCCCGCCCGCACAAGTTGCCCGCAAGTTGCCCGCGCCGCTCACCGGTGTGTGCGCGGCCGTGCGGGAGCCGCGCGGGCCCGGGCGCGGCCGCCGGGAGTCTCCTCCCTCCCTGCCCTTCCTCCTCCTCCTCCTCCTCCTCCCCCGGCCGGCGGCAGGGGCGGGCCGGGGGCGCCTGCAGCGCCCGGCAGCCGGAGCGGGGGGTGATCCTCGACGTGGGGCTCTCTGCACCCCGGGGTGCTGCACCCAAGGGCTTGCACCCGGGGCTGCTCGCACAGGGATGCCCGCAGCAGAGGGTGCTGGCAGGCACAAGAGGCACTTTCGGCTTCAACCCTATATTAGACATCAGAGAATCGTYCCCCCCTCATCCCACCCCGCGGGGGGGCAGGGATTCCTTCTGTGAAGATGTCCTTGCCTGCGGAGTTTTCCCGTCTCTTGGACGGCTTTTGGCCGAAACGGCTGCAACGCGACCACCCCAAAGCACTTGTGTCCCTGCGGGAGCATCCAACCCCAACCAGCCCCAAAGCTGGGTTTTTCCATTGGAAAAACAGTTTGGGGAGGRGGGGAGAGAAAACGGATCGTTCTCCCACATTTGTAGTTTCTGCGGTTAGCCTTGAAAATAGAAATTTCCCCGTCCCGACACGGCGGCGGGCYCTGCAGCCCACGCACAGGAGAGGCGGCCAAACCAGGTCCTGAAACTCAGTGTCTTTTAGCTCCTACCCAGCGTAAAGGAGCGGSAGAAGCGGCGCCAGGTGGAAGGCAGCTCGCGCTGCGATCCCACAAAAGCTTCCCCATTGCACATGGGAGGGGAGGTGGAAGGCGTTCATTTAAAGGAAGGCTAAACAACACTTTGTGGCAAAAGTTGTTTTGGATGCAGAAATTCGAGGTGTTTGTTTAGGCAAAAACCCTCATGCTTTGGKGCCAGCTGTTGGGCGTGCTCCTGCGCTTGGGTTGCAAAGCAGGAGCGTGGAGCAGGTTCACCCTGGGGTAAAACCTTGTGCACCGCAGCTCCCGGCCCGTTCCAGCTCCATCTCTAAGCCACGGAGCAGGGAAATAAAGGGAAAAGCCCAGAGCTTGTGCCCAGACGCCCAGGACTGGCATTTCAAGCCACCAGACCCTGCGCAACCAGACCTCGATCCAGCGGGTGGAAAGGGGCCATTTTGGCAAATCGCTGCCACGCACAACTGTCCCCAAATCGCTGCCACGCCGACTGTCCCAGCAGCTCCTCTTGCACTAGCTCTCGTGGCGCGGCCCGCCGTCCCCAGCGCTCTGAGCGGTGGCCGTAACCCGCTATAGGTGCCCTACAGGCTCCTCGCGTTGCTCCAGGCTGCTCCGCAGGTCACAGGGAGTCTCTGAAAAAAGAAAAAAAAAAAAAGACCGAGCAAAAGGGAACGTAAGAGACCTGTAGATTTAATCAGCTCGTCTGCATACGAACACTTCCTTTTCTGCTGCCAGAGCACAGAGCCCTGCCGTGCTGCCYGGCGCTCCGTGGGCACCGGGAGCCGGGCCGCAGCCGCCCGCGGCCCTGCCGAGTGGGCAAGGGCCTCCTCGGTGCTGCTGGCGTCTTAACGGCTGGAGGGAGTGGAGGGAGACCCCACGGAGCCTGGTGAGATAAGAAAACGTGCAAGGGGGGAGCCGAGGGGGGGTAAATTCGTTGTGCTCCCTTGGGGAAGCGGGAGAAGAGGAAGGCGAGCGAGTGYGGGAAAGCCCGCGTTGCTGCCCGCCGCGCGGCCCTGAGGCTTTCCTCACCATCTGGTTCCTGCCCTGAACTTCTCTGCCGTCTTCCCGYCCGGCACGGGCGAAGGGCTGGGCTGAGCATCCGGGCTGGGCGAGCGTCTGAGCGGTGCGGGTACCCGCCTGGTTCAAAAGGGCGCCCAGGTGAGTCAGCAGAGCACGCAGCACCGAGCAGATGAGCGGCAGATAGACAGGGCGTTCTGGGGGACCGGGCACGCCAGGGCACCCAGCGCTCCCAGCTGAGGAGTCACCGGAGGGCTCTGAGCCCTGTGATCCAGCCCATCATCATCATCACTGCAGAAGGAGGCTGGAAAGTGGTCACTTCTCGCTGGAGGAGGAAGGATCCTCCTCCTCTTGAAGCCTCGCAGTGGAGGAGTAGGTGAGGGAAGACTTAGCCACGCGTTGGGCTGTTACCCGGCTGCTCCTCCGCACGGGTGCTCATGAAACTAAGGGCAATCTGAACCACCCAGCGGCATTTGCTGAGCTCTGGGGTTAAAGCCAAGCGTTTGGAAGCGCAGGTTGCTTTCTCCTTATCTCCAGCGAGTGCATGCACCAAGAGAAAGGCAGAAGTATGGAGGATCCTCTTGCACCCTGCTGGAGAACCTTGCAYTCGTGCTGACCTCCCTGCAACGCCTGCACACCCGATGCACGCAGTGCGGGCAATAAACAGGAAGGATTAGAGGTCTGTGTGCGGTCGCAGGGCCTTGATCTCGCTGCAGTTAGAGAGATGTGGTGGGATAGGTTGTGTGACTGCAGTGATGCCATGGAAGGCTACATGCTTTATAGGAGAGAGAGAAGAGCAGCGGAGCTGGTGGAGTCGGTCTTCACGTGGGAGAGCAGTTGGACTGCACTGAGCTCTGCCTGGGGTGCACCAAGAGCCACTCGGGAGCTTGCAGGTAAGGCTTAAGGGGCAGCTAACACGGGAGACGCTGCGGAGGGCGTTTACTGCAGGCCACCTCAGCAGGAAGAGGAAGGCACTGAGACCTTCTGCAGAAAGCTGGAAATAGCCTCACGATCACGTGCCCTCCTTCTTCTGGGGGACGTCAAGCACCCTGCTATTGGCTGCAAGGCATCCCAGCTAGGCACAAACAGCCCGGGTAGCTTCTTGACACAGGTGGTGGAGGAGGCAATGAGGAGAGGGGCTGAACCTGGTGCTAATGAATAAAGAGGGACTGTTTGGAGGTGTGTGAATGTTGGGGGGGKGTTTTTGGCTACAGAGAGCATGAGATGATGGAGTTCGGGATTGTGCAAGGAGGAAGCTGGGCAGAAAGTGGGATCACAATTCTGGACTTAAGGTGGGCAACACTGGCCTCCTCTGGGACCTGCTTGRAGGAAGCCCATGGACTAGGGCCCTAGRAGRAGGGAGGGTCYAAGAGAGCTGGTTAACATTCAAGGATTTCTTCTTTCAAGCTCGAGATTGGTGCCTCCCTAAGAGTAACAAGTCAGGCAGAGGGGGCAGGAGGCCTGTGTGGGTGGGCAATTTGCTCCTGGCAAAGCTCAGGCAGAGGAAGGAAGTGTCTGGAGACGGGAAAAGGGGACAGRCCACCTGGGAGGAACACAGGGATGTCCCTTTCAACCTCAGCCATTCAAGGATGCTGCAACGCAACAGCAGAAGGGTCATTTCCCCGCCGCGAGTTGGTTGCCCTTCGCTGTCGCCAGYGCCCACAGCGTGAAGGAGCCTCCCTGCAGCCCCCATTAGCAGTAACGCRTCCCGGTACCTCCGCGAGCAGCAGGAGCCTCCCGAGGCGCCCTGTCCCCACCTCGCCGCGGTGCCGGCGCTGCGGTGGCTCCCGCGGCGCCGTGAGCCCCGTCGCAAGGGCGGCAGCGTCGCTCGTGGCCCGGCCTGCGGGCGCTCCAGGAAGCTGGGGCTGCCGCGAGCGCCGGCACCCGCGGGCGCCTCGCAGCCGCCGCGGCTCTGCGCCCGCGCCCGGCATTTGCATCGCGGCCTCGCAGGCGGCTGCGGCGCCGGCTCCTCGCCACGGCGCCYGGGGCGGGCGGGGGCCGCCTTGGATGGATCCAAAGGGCATTGTCAGAACCATCGGGAGTGAGCCCTGCAAGCGGGCGCGTGCCCAAGGTGTGGGATCCATCCCACGGCTCCTAACCCGGCTGTGCATGGCTGAACGCACCGGGCAGGCACGGCCTTGGCATCTCCCGGCTCCCCTCGCTCGGCACGGCCACCCCGGCACGAGTGGAGCCCTCACGGGTGCCTGGGTGTCTTTTGCAGAGCACCCTGGACATGGAGGCCCAGCTGCTTGCTGCCTTCGTCCTGGCGCACGCCACGGCTGCCCTGCAGTTGGACGGTAGGGCCTGAACCTGCTTCCCGCTTCTGGCATCCCTGGATTTGGGCATAGGCCGCCCACTTACAAGGGGATCCTACAGGAGGATCCCTGGGGTGTCGGCCGCCGTGCCAGGCGGTTTTCCCTCCTGCTTGGCGCTCAGCCTGCTYGCTGGGCCAAATCCAGTGCGGTGCCTTTAGGCAGAGGAGCTGGGGGCAAAGGCAAAGCTCACGGCACCCCCGCAAGGTGCTGGCAAAGCTGCTCTTATCTYGCCCATGCAGACTTGGGGATGGTGGAGAACGACGTGGCCACGCTGGGTTCCAGCCTGCAGGCAAACTGCAGCAGCCCCGTTGGCAGCATGGTGAGGTGCGTGGGCGCTGTGTCCCCGTCCCCAGCGCGCCCCAAGCCGGGACCCGCTCGTCCCGTGCACCCCGACCCGCCGTTTCGCCCCGCAGGTTGAACCGGCTGCAGCAACGGCTGGTCAAGGCCAGCTTCAACCAGAGCCAGCTCACTGTGAGCTCCAGCACCGTGCACGTCCACGTGTTCAAGTTCAGCGCCCGGGGCTTCACTGGGATCAATGTCACCAATGAGATGGTCAGAACCTGCAGGCTCCTCTCCTAGCCCCCAAACCCTGCTGTGCTCCCTGGGAATGATCCCTGGGAATTCCCTGTGCGTCTGGGGAGGAAAGGTTTCTGTGCAAAGTCGTGGGGCTGGTAGCCATTTGACCCTCGTGGTGGTTTCGAGGGGTGAGCGCTGTGGCTGCTGCTGTTGGCAGATGCTTTATGTGATGGAGCCACCTCAAGATGCTGCTGCCAAGGGGCTCTCCAGGTGGGGGGAGACCAGGTAGGACTGGAGAAATGTCGTGGTGTGAGAGTCCAAATGCATCCGTGGCACCTTGGCAGTGAGCTGGGGATGCGTGCTGGGCCGTAAGCTGTCCCCAGGCTGGGGGACGTGGTGGTGGCCCATGCTGATAACCATGGGGACACAGTATGGAGGGGTCCAGTCACCCTGCGTGCCTTGGTCCTGGGGGCCCCTGCAGGCCCCGCCACGGCCTTGGCACCACCACCTCTGCCAGCCAGCGCAGCACCCAAGGGTGACATTAGGGCCAAGCGCTCCAGAGACAGCACAGGCCTTTGTCCTCCTCTAGTGGCTGGTTGGGAGCAGAGCTTGGAAATGGCCCAAAGCATCTCAGCCACAAGGTCCTCCAGCCGCTGCGCTGACCCAGCCCAGCGTAGCTACCTCCTCCTCTTCCTCCTCCTTCTCCTCCTCTTCCTCTGCAGGCACAGGGCAGGCAGCAGGGAAGGCACCCATCGCATGCCATGCGCTTCCCGGCAGAGCTGATGAAGGGCATCCAGGCCAAAGASAGGGAGCAGAAACTCATCTGCATTTACATCCACAGCCCTTGCATCTTCCAGGTGAGCTGTGGTGGAGGAAGAGCGAGGGCAGCCCACAGGGATGTCCTTTGGGGCTCCTCTCCAGTGACCTGAAAGCAGCTGCATCTCTCAACCCACCCCAAAGCTCAGCTTCCCTCTGGGAACCTTTGCAGGATGAGCACAACAGCTCTGTGCTCAATGACCACATCTTGGGAGCCTTCCTCCCAAACATCAGCATCACCAGCCTCAGACAGCCTGTGGAGATCCAGTTCTGGCACGACAAAGTGCTGGTGAGTGCGGGAGCCTGGGTGCCATCAATGCGGGGGCTACTCCGGAAAGGACCAGAGCTGGAAGGAAGGGGGCTGATAAGTGTGAGGGTTGCGGGAGTGACCCCAAGCACCAGGATTTTCCTTTGAGTTCAGAAAAAATGAGATATTCCCCACTTTGCACTACGAGCAAGATGGTGCTTTGCTACCTGGAGGGGSTTCCTTGGGGAGCGCAGAGTCTTGCCCCATCTCTAACCTCCTCTTTCACTGATGTTTAACCTCCCATCACTAATGTCCCCCTTGCCCTTCCTACCAGGACACCTCCAACGCAACCTGTGTCTTCTGGCAGGACAGAGCCGGTGAGTGCATYGGTGGCTGGGGCAGCAGAGTGTGGCCACTTTGGTGCCACTGTCCCTGGTGGCACTGCCCAACCACCCAGGGGCAGCTCAGTGAGAGGACCAAGATGGAACAGGGCCCTCATCTGAYCACCCACCCCTTCACCTGTCAGCTCCGTGAGGTGTCCTCGGGCCCTTGATGCTGCCTCTCCAACGGCGTTTCTCTCCCCAGCAGGCAGCAGGAGCTTGGGAAGCTGGAGCTCGGAGGGCTGCGAGACCCGGCACAGCCAGGGCACCGTGCTGTGCCGGTGCAGCCACCTCACCTACTTTGCTGTGCTGCTGGTAGGATGGATGCCCGTGGCTTGTCTGGAAGAGTGTCTTGTTAGGAGAGTGATTGCTGCAGGGTTGGCATGTCCATGCTGCTGGCGCCCCGCACTGCCAGATCCTAAGCCCAGCCTCTTCTCTCCTCCTTGGACAGATTGCACCGAGCAACATCAGCCAGGCCGAGCTGGTGTCTCTCACCTACATCAGCATCGTGGGCTGCTCCATCTCGGCCACTGCCTCACTTTTTGCCATCCTCCTCTACTGCATCTTCAGGTAACAGTGGCTGCTTTGGTCCCAGACGCTGCGACATCCAGAACAAGCCAGGTGAAGACTTCTCAGTGCTCCAGCATCACCCCTCTTCTTGTGCCTGTCTTTTAGGAGGAAGAAGAGTGATGACACAACCAAAATCCACATGAACCTCCTGGGCGCGCTCTTCCTCCTGAACAGCGGGTTCCTGCTCAGCGAGCCGCTGGCCTTGGCCACCGTGGGGCTGTGCCGAGCCGCTGCCGCCTTCCTGCACGCAAGCCTGCTCTGCGCTTTGGCCTGGATGGCTGCTGAGGCCTTCCACCTCTATCTCCTCCTCATCAAGGTCTATAACACCTATGTCCAGCGCTACCTCCTCAAGCTGTGCCTCTTTGGCTGGGGTGAGTGTGGCCTCTGTGGTCACTGCGGCTGCCACAACATCCCCCTTTGGACAGATGGGTGAAGAGGAGCAACCGGTGCTGGTGGTGGGTCTGCCAGGAGGGAGGTCAGAGGAGGAGATGAGCACGGCTGGAGGTACCAGCCATGGTGCTCGCAGTGTCCGTATGCTGGGACCCCTGTGTCATACTACAAYGATCGCTGTCTGCAGGCGCTCTGGGCTCCTCTGCTTCTCTCCCATGAGCACGGCTGGGATTTCTTGCCTTGTCTTCTYCCCTGACCAGATTCTGTCTCCTGCCCCTCAGGTCTGCCAGCTCTGGCAGTTACTGGCATTTTGCTCTTCAAGAGAGACACCTATGGATACCTGGACATCAAAACTGCTGATGGCTACAAGAATGCTACAATGTGAGTGCTGGAGGTGCCTGGTGTCCTGGGATGCCACCGCAGTGCTGCTGATACGGGGACGAGGCCCAGCAGAAGTGGGAGGACTCTCCCTATGCTCCCTGCAAGACCACCATTTCTCTGAGCTCCATCCCTCCCATGCTCTTCTGCTGAGCCGTGACTGCATGGCACTGTCCTCCCTGCCAATGTAGGGCTGTCCCATTCCACATACGGGGCTTTTATGGAAACCCTGCCCCCTCCAATGCCCTTCTCGGGGGAGAAAAGCCCTTCTCCTCAAGCAAATTTCCCTCCTGGCTCCTCTGGCCTGGATCTGCTGTGCCTGGGTGCTCCTCAGCTCTCAGCTGGGCTCCCTTGCGCAGGTGCTGGCTCACCAGCCGGGCAGCTCACTACAGCACCCTGTGCTTCGCTGGCCTCGTCCTGCTCTTCAACACCGTGGTGCTGCTCGCCGTCGTGAGGATGCTGAGGAGCAGCCGGCAACAGAAGGGGATGGCGAGGAAGGATTGGGCGACAGTGCTGGGGCTCACGTGCCTGCTGGGCACTACCTGGCTCCTGGCTTTCTTCAGCTTCGGCATGTTCTTCGTGGCCCAGCTCTACCTCTTCACCATCCTCAACTCCTTGCAGGGTCAGTGGGAGCAGTGGGCCTGGGAAGGGTTTTTTGAGAGGGAAAATCCCACATGTTGGGAGCAGCAGGGTGCTCGTTGGGCTGCACTCTCCCCACCACGGGAGGGACAAGTGATGAGCTGAGGCCTCAGTGCCCCACAAGAGCCTGGGGGACTTTTGGGGCCAGTGGAGATGCTGCATGTTGGTCATCCCAATGGCGACTCTTGCCTTGCCTTTCTGCCCGCAGGTCTCTTCATCTGCCTGTGGTACCACACTGTGCTCCGGCGGACGGACCGCAGCTCCGCCAGCACCTCCTCCAACACCTCCAAGTGAGCCAAGGGCTTCGCKGGGACACCACGCTGGAGCTCCCCGTGCTGTGAGCCCTGCAGGGGTCCCGTGGAGCTCCGTGCTCCCTGCCGCCTTTTGGGACCTTTCTTGGGGGAGTTGCAGACAAGGGCAGGTTTCCTTAACAGCTGGCAAAATGCTTGGCTCCAGGGCAGCGATCTTGATTGCGCTGTCATTAATGAAGGTCCCGCTAGGTGGCATGAGGATGTCAAAGAATTTCCCGGCTCCGATGCCCGAGCGTCTCTGCACCATCTCGGGGACCAGAATGGCCATAACGGGAGCCTCGCAGCAGCACCCAAGCACAAATCCAGGCCAGTCTGCATGGAGGCAGAGCCGGGAGCGCGCGGCAGCGGGAGTCTCCTGGAGCTGCAAAACCCCTTTGCTCTGCACACCCTTCCTCGGTCCACTGAGCTGCTGGYGGGCTTTTCTCAGCACCTCCATTCTCCAGAAACACCAGTTCGCTTTCCTCTCTCCCCTAGGGAATGCAGRAATTCCTGGAAAGGAAAAGATGTGAGAGGAGGGGAAGCTCCCCTTATTCCTGGATATGCAGCCAGAGTCATATCCGGCAGGATTTTCCGTGCTGGGAACATTAAGTCCAGGCATTTCCTTAACCTTAGCCATTCTGTGACTCTGTGATCTCCATCCCGGAGCTGGGCAGCTCAGGGCGGTGGGAGGCRCTGCCATGCCCCTTGCCTTTCTTTCAGCCTTAGCAGACAAGCGCTCGCTGTGTTGGCCGCGCTCGCGGCCCGCGCGGAGGCGGCTTTGCAGGGCGGGAGGCACGCCGGGATCCCGCGGAGCCGCTGCTGCACTCGGGGAGGGCTGCCTGGTYGGGCTGCAGTCAGAGCCCTGCTCCAAGGTTTCTGCGCATTCTTCGCTGCTGGCACGGAGCGGAACATCCGGCCGCTGGCCAAGGCAGCGCTCCGGGGGAGTTAGGCTTTTTCTTAGGGCAAAAAACGCTGTTTGCAGCAACACGTTGCACTTGGTGGTTATCAGCCCTGGAAATACAATCCTTGAAGTTTTGGGAGGTGTTTTTTGGACCACCGTCAGTCCCGTCCCTGTTAGGCCCATCCCTGCAGGAGGCAATGTGGCTGCAGCCTAAAGCCACCTGTCTTTGCCCTASTGCTTTGGAGCAGCGCTCGTGCCAGGGTTGTTAAATACAATCCCTTTTTCTATATGTTATCTAAGTTTCCGGCTTCCACTGTGGGATGGGCTCGTCTAGACACGAGAGCAAACGGGACGGCCGCTTTAGGAGCGTGCCGAGGCAGGAGGTGATTTTATTGCCTGGGGTTATAAAGCTGAGTCTAGCAGGCCAACCAGTGTGGGAGGTGCTGCTGTGGGCACCCTGCTGTGCTGAGCCTGATGTTCCCAAGCAAACCAGCTCCTGCAGAGGGACCCTGCATGCACGTGGCCATGGGCGAAGGCTGGAAGACGTGGGGTTTCAGCCCTGCGTGTGCCAGCTCTTCATCCCTGTGGTGGCTACAGGCCAGGGGCTCACTGACAAACTGCCGGGATCCTGCTTGCCATGGCCACCAAGCCACCAGCAGAATATCTGGAGAACATCGCCCAAGAGACCAAAATCAAGATTGGGTCCATGCAACTTCTGCCAGGGTGGGGTTTTGGACCCAGCCGCTCAGAGCATGGGCTTCTTGAGCTCTTCTGAGCACAACCTCATCCCTCCAAGGCTCCTTCTGCTCATTTTTGTGGTCTATCCCAAAGGGCGCCTGCATTTGGCTCTGGGGAGCTTGGCTCAGGCGGAGGTCTCCAGAGCCAGGCAGGATGTTTGGTCTCGTGCCCAGTGGCAGGTTTGGGCACAAAGGTGGGCAGCTCTGAGCAACCAAGGCGAAGACTGGAGACAGGCAGGAGCGACTCCGGGGAAGATCCCTGGGTGCGATAAACAGCTTTTTTCCATTGGAAGTGCCAATTCCCAGACCCATTCATTAGCTGGCACCCACCACAGACTGCTTGGCACCCCTCCCCTTCCGCCTCCTGCTCTCCAAGACGTGCAGTGGGGCCCCCCTTGCTGCAGCTCGAGCCCAGACAACGCTCAGCCCTCGGGGATAGCACATATTTTATGGGGAGATGCTGATAGAGCTGGGCTGGGCTCTTCTGGTGGGGAGGAGATGAGGGGGAGAGCTAACAGCAGCCTACAGCTACAAAGACTTTGAATCAACCCCTCCCTGGAAGGAGCAGGCAATATAGCAAAAAGGACGTCGAATGTGGATCTGAGTTAGGAGGCACTGGAAAGAAAGACTGAGCAGGATGATTGCCTAGCCCTGGGAAATCTCATCAGAGAGCTGGGATCTCCACCCTTGGAAGGTTTGAAGACTCAGCTTTGAAGACAAAGCCGGGTCTGTCCTATCCTAGACCTGTCCTAGCAAGAGGTTGGAGTGGAGACTTGCTGACGTTCCTTGCACACATTGCYGCTATGATCTGTGCGAATGCATCATCCTGCTTACCAGCCTCCTTCACTGACTCGAGCTGCGTTTGAGGTGACTCAGTCATGGTTGCACATTTCCCTTTCCAGTGACTGGGACCAGGCTGGTAGAGCCTGGAGTAACTATCCCAGAGTAACAGCAATGTTCAGCCTGAGACCAGCAACAATCCCTTGAGAGCACCAGAGGACCAYGCACCAACCATCAGGGTGGAGGCACAATGGGTGTTTGAAGGACCCAAGGAGGTGGGTCCTCCTTGTGACCAAAAATGTGGGGCCAACCCAGGCCGTATGGCAGCCCAGTACTGACCGGTCCCACCCAYACCAAGGGGCTGTCTGAACGTATCATCAGCATCTTGGGACCATGTGTGGGCAATACCAAACCACAACTTTGCTGTCAGTCCAAGACTGTCCTGGGATCAGGGCAGAGCTTTGGCCAAAGCTCTTCCCTGGAGACAMTCAGCATCGCCCACGCCAGCTCCGTAAGCCTGTCATTTATTGTGTAGCTCCTTCGCACCTGTGCTGTCTCCTGTGAAATCTCATCCATGGAGCAGATGACAGACCTTTACCTATCTCCCAAACATGTGCTGAGGCCCCTGCATGCAGGGAAAGGCCCTTCAGCCCCTTCAGGAGACCAGAACTGGGTGAAGGAGTYCGTGTTTCTCCTGCCCAGCTCTCTCTCATGTATGCAACCCTTCCCTCCTCMTAACAACAAGCTCCTGCAGCTTTGCTTCTCTCTTCACTACCTTTGATGGCCCCTAGCCAGGAAAGACCTTAGAAAGAGGCTCACTGCTCATGTTCTTGGGGAGCTGGCTCCTGCCCTGGGCCACCAGCTCGGCTCCCTGTGCAGCCACGTGGCTGCGGGAGCCAGGTGAGACACCAGCATGGGGCTCCTGTGGCTCCTGGGCCGGTCTGGCCCATTCGCGGTCTTGCCTTTGCCCCTCTCTCCTATCCCTTCTCCAGGAGCGCTCATGCTGGGACCGCCCTGCTTGCCCCGAGGTGCGTCTGTCTGCTGGTGCTGTTGGCGCCGATCCCAACCCTGGTGACCACGCTGCCCGTTTGGCTCCCCGGCAGTCACAAGGAACCCTGTGGGCAGGGGGACGTCACGAGGTGAATCCCTCGGATCCTCCCGGCTCTATGAGCTCTTTCACCGCCTTGGCACTGCAGACGGCGGGAAGAGCGTCTCCCTTCTCCCATACTCCCATCCTGGGTGCCTGGCCCCCAGGGGCCAAAAGGACCTTCCTGCTGCTCCCACTGCTGTGGGGAGCCAAGGCAGCGCCCTGGCGGGAGCTACATGGAAAACACGGTGCCACCTGCCTCCTCTTTTCCCACCACCCTGCTGCCCTGCTCTTTTTCCCATCACTTGGAGCAGACAAAAGCATCGTCCTGGCTTTTAGGAGMTGCCTTGAGTGCGAAATCCTCCCGGGACAGTCTGACCCTGCTGCTGGATGGGTCCCCACAGGCAAATGTCCCTCCTGAAGGACAAGGCAAGGATTTCCTCCCCCTTCTCCYGCCTCTGCTTTGAAGCCAGGCATTGGAGATAACCTGATAAAATCAACAAGTCCCGATGGCGGTGACATAAAAATAACTCCTGATCACATCAGCTGCAGACAAAGGTCTCTTTGTCCTCCAAGCGGTGACGAAGGGACAGCCTGAAAGGTCCCTTTCCTGGCAGGAGGATGAGCTGGGCTGTAGGGGAGCCCAGTGGTGACAGTGACGCGGAGGGGCAGACCCCGATGGGTCCCATCCTGCTCCCCCTGCCCAGCATCCAGTCAAACAGGTTTTGCCTGAAAAAGATGGAGAAGAACCAGGCGCAGCAGCGGCTGGAGGTGAAAGCTGCTTTTCCGTGCTTGCTGCGCAGTGCTGGCTCTTCCCAAACGCTGGAAGATTTACAGCGTTTCCCAAAGAAGGGCGGTGAGCTGGTCACTGTGACCGCAGAGGCGGCGCCGGAGCCCGGCCCGACGYGGGGCTCGGCCGCGGGGCTCGGGATGCTGCTGTGCTGCTCTTCAAAGGGAGCCAATTCCGTCACCCGCGCGCGTGAGCGGCCCAGCCGGCGAGCCGGGCAAAGAGCGGCACGGGGCTTCCCGTGGGAACGGGAGCGCGGGTGCCCCCGGCATTGTCGYGGGCCGCGTGCCAGCAGCGCCGCTAGGAAACAGCCTGGATCAGGGAGCGGATCAAAGTGGAGGCGCCTGCTCCCGCCGGGCCGCGGCAGTGGGGCCGGCACCTGCGCCCTGAGCATCGCCTTGGYGGGGAGCTCGCCTGGCACCTCTCCCCCGGCGGGAAAGAAATGTCCTATTCAAGCCCTTGCGAGTATCTGCAATAGCAACTATTTACTCTTCGGGCACTTCCTGGCAGCCTCCCAGCCCCCTTCTCCTCCCCCTGCAGATCTCCTTGGAGCCTTTTCTCCTTTTTTCTTTCTTTCTTTCTTTCTTTCCTCCTGGCGGCTCCCGAAAGGCCGTGTCTGGCGGGAGCTGGCAGCGCTTCAGCCCCTCCGCTCCCTGCCAGCCTCGGCTCCCGCGGTGCGGGGCAGCTGGGAGGCGGGAGACGAGGCTCGGCGCTGGCACCGGCTGTGGTGCGGAGGTTTGTCTGCCCCTTCCCATTCCCGGCCCTGGGGCGTTCGGATGCTGAGCGAAGCCAGCCCCAGCAGCACAGGTTGCTGCTCTCTGCCTGCCTGCTCTGTCTCCTCCTTTTCCTGCACGGGACAAGGAGAACACTCGTGGGGACACTCTGTTCTGACTTCTTTTCTACTAACTTATTTTTTAAGCCTTTTTGTTGTTGTTTCCTTGCAGCTTGCCAGCCAAACAGCTCTTTTCCTGCCCTGAACGTTTGCCAGGCTCCTGCGTGCCCTCAGCAGAGCTGGAAATACCCCCGCAGCCCTCCTCCCTGCCACCTTGCGCCCGGGGACACCCCTCCTTGTCCCTGACACCTTGCACGGTAGCGGGGGGGACGTCGCCGCCCCCCGGCCGCGGTGCGGGAGGGTCTCGGCGGAGCCGGTGCGGGGCAGCCCGCCCGGGTGCCGCCCCGCTGAGTCACGGGCTGCCGGGGGGGCGGGCCCGGCCGCCCCGCACCGAGCGCCGTCGAGTCGAGCTCCGCGCTCCGCCCGCCGCGCGCTGAGCTCCGCCGAACCGCTCCGTGCTCCGCCGCCCCGCGCTGCCCGCCTCCCGCACAGGTACCCCCGGAGCGGCCGAGCAGGGGAAGGGCTCGGGGAGCAGCGCGGAGGGCTGCGGGTGGCAGCAGGGGGGTTGCGGAGCGGGATGAGCCCCAGTGCGGGGGATGCGGCTGGAGGAGCAGGTGCCAGCAGGGTCGGGGAGGCAGGTGCTGTGCTGGCTTTTGGGGATCGCCGGCGGCGGGGTGCTCTCTGCCACCCCCTTGCTGGGAGGGCGCTGGGAATCTGGCAGCTGCTGGGAGCAGCCCCCATGGGAAGGCTCCTGGGGCTGCAGGTTGCCTGTGTGCTAAGTGGGGATAGATGGGACGCTGTGGGATATGTGGTGCKCCAGGTTGGTGCTGGGGCATTTTCCGTCCACACACCCGAGCTGGGCACCTGGCACTGGGCTGAGCTGAACTGGTTGGGATCAGGGGGTAACTGAAACCTCCAGCCTAGASTGCTGCCCACCCTTTCCCTATGCCTCCTTCCCCTCCTGGCTAAATCAGGCTCTTCCTCGCCTGCCCTAGCGCCCTGCCTCTGCCGCCGGAGCCAGGCTGAATTCCAGAGGCCGGGAAGTGGCCGATCCCCCTGCTCGTGCCTTGCCAGGGCCAGCTGCTCCCGGCTGCTCCCTGGGCACAGCTGAGCGCCGCGGAGCACCCGCGGTAGCGCCGGCGCCGGGAGCGCGCAGYACCGCCGTCCTCACAGAGCGCGCAGCGGCCCCCTCCCCGGGGCGGCAGGCTTGTCCCAGCAGGGCGATTGCTCGCCCGAGAAGTGCCTGCCGGGGGATTCCGCATGGGAAAAATTCGGTTTGTTCCTGCCAGTTCTGGCACGCCACGGGGGGCTGCAGGGAGCTGGTTTAGGGTGCTCGATGSTTGCAAAACAGGTTGAACCACCTCCCCCCAAAGCCAGTGGGAGTGGCAGAACCCCRGAGACGACAGCCTGAGAAGTGGAATTAACTCTCCTGGAATAACCCCTCGGCAGCGAGGCCGGATTGCCTTGCACAGGGAACGCGGCCAGAGCCCATTTCACACTCTGGGGCCTTYGGGACACAGCTTCAGGCTCCCCCGGGAGCTGGCACCTAGATGTGGTTTTGGAGAATGAGCCTAGGAGAGATYGAGGCCCTGGACCTGGAGCAGTCCTCGAAGTGCGGTCCTGATCAGGATCCTAGGCCCGGTGGATTTTCCTGTGCCGTCGCCATAGTGTTTACAGCTCCTGCATGAGCTGGGCCACGGCCTGGGTAAAGAGGATTGCATAGTTGGTTGCAATCCAGCTCCTAATCCTGCAAGCCGGGGGCTGCCCTTTGCAGAGCAACAGGTTTGCAAGCAACTGCGCGCTGCCCGGCCGGGGCGCGGGGCTGGCGGCGCCCGCACCGCTCTCCTCAGTGTTCAGCTCGGGTGCGCGGCTGGTAATGTTTAACCTGGGCATTAATGAGTGACAGACCCCCGCAGCGCCCAGCCCCGCAGCAGGGGGAACCAGGCAGCAGGAGCGAGGAGCCGGGAGCCAGGAGGGCGCAGGAGGGGCTGGAAAAGCTCAGTCTGGGAGGTGCTGCCTGCTCTGTCGCTGCCGGTCATCCAGGATGGAGTGTTTTCCTTATGCACATGGAGTGCGGATCTGGCTGCCTTTGTCTTGTTCCAGCAGCTCCCTGACCCCTGTCCCCCCGTGCCCAAGGGGCGACCCTGATGCCGCATGTGCAGGGATGGAGCAAGATGCTTTCTTGCTTCTTAGCATCCTCCCCAGAAAGCTGGGGGCTGCGGGGAGCCGCTTTCTCACCCCATGGACTCCTGCACCAATATTCCTCCCAGGAGAGGCTCCTCTGAGAGCCCCTGTGCACCCGACAGGCGCTGGYGCTCGCGCCTCGCCCAGGCAGGGCTGGCTCGCACGGCGGCGGGTGCGGAGCCACACGTTGCCCTTCCTCTGCGCAGGAAGCGAAGCAGCGGCGGCTGCCCTGGGTAGCCGAGGTGCTTGCACACCAGGGTGTTGCTTTTTTTAATTGAGATTTGGTTTATTTCAGATGCTCAAGGGAGGGCCCCAAGCAAGGCAGTGGTGCCTGGAGCCTCGGGTGGGCACGGCTGCCGCGGTGTCCTCCCGTCCGCTCCGACTGTGACTCCCTCACGTCCTTCTTTCCCGTGAAGGACACGAGCCTGGTGAAGGAGCTGGGCTGCATCTGTGGGAGTTTTTCATCTGCTTGCCTTTTTTTTGTTTTCTTTTTTTTTTTTAATTTGTGGTCCTGCCTGCAAAATCCAACCGGTGAATTGAGCACGAAGCGGCCGCTGGCCAATGCCGGGAAGTGCCCGCGTGCCAATGCGGTGAATAACGCTTCCCGTGTGGCCGTGGGAGCGAGGACGAGGGTGCCTGGAGGGCAGCAGTGCAGGGGGATGGAGCAGGGGGATGTGGTCACGACGGACAGACCCAGCACGCTGGCGAGTGCCGCGTTGCCATGGCAGGAAAGCCGCTGGCTCCCCTCGTTTTCACTGTTTGTTCGCAACATGAGGCCATTTTCCCTTCTCCTTGGACAAAAAGAAATCCCGGGAGAGGCCAGGCCTCCGGGGGCTTGAATATCTGCTGCCACCTGGGCTGCAAGATGTCTTGGCAACAACAAATACCCGCTGTTTTTCTTTCATTTCTCCCCACTTGCCTCAGGTTTAGCAAATTTGGGGTTCCCAAAAAGTGGGAAGCTGCTGGGAGAAGGGTTGGCCTTGTCTGGAGCTGATGAGGAAGATGATGGTGCTTGGGGCAGAAAGCGAGCTGGAGACGGGGGCAGGGGGGCATAAGGCGAGAGCAGAGCAGCATGCCCCTGGAAGGAAAGGGAAGGAAACGGGGTGAGGAATAGCGTTATCCCGCTGGAAACGCCCTTTTCAGGGGATTTTCTCGGCAGCTATTGTTCGGCGCAGGAAGCGGCTGCGCACTATGGGGCGTCGAGGTTGCGGCCGGGTGCCGCGGAGGGCTCCTTCGGGGCCGGGAAAGCCCAGTTCTGCGGGGCTGGAATGACTGCGGCCCCAGGAATGAATAGACGGCCCGGCCGCGCCGGCAGCATTAGGGGCTGCTATTTCGGGAGCGCACATGTGCCCGCGTTGCGGGACGGGCCGCAGGCGCATCCTTCCTACATCTGTTTCTAGACCTGCTCTCCATGTCCAGCCGCTGCTTTTCTGTCGCCTCCGCCGCCCCCAGGGATTCCTGAAATTCCCCTCCATCTGCAGAAGTCCTGATTCAAAGGGGTTTGAACCCATCTCGTGCCACTTTTGCCGTGGCTTCCCACACCCGAGACCGCTACTGCATCCCTCTGGTGACTCAGTGTCCTAGTGTAGAAGTTTGCCCTGGGTTCCTGCTGCCAGACGGGGCAGTTTCAGGGGCCAGGCACGAGGGAAGGAGCCGCCAGCATCTCAGGAAGCCCAGGCAGCCTTTCCCAGCCCAGTGACTGTGAGCACAGGCTGCAAGTGCTGAGCAGAGAGCACTCTATGGAGCTGCAACCCTCACAGGGAGGAAGCACGTGGGGTGGAAGTGGCCATTGGTCACGACGACAAGTGSTAGGACACGGCCGCCGGTCACCTACAGCCTGGCCAGGGGATGGATTCTCACCCGTGGGACGTGTGCTGGCGGCAGTGTCTGAGGTGAACCGAGATGGCCYCAGCCATGTTCTCAGCAGCTGTGCRAATTTTATGCTGCACGAGCAAAGGGTTGACTTTGCAAACAGGGCACCTTGAGGCTGTTCGTCCCCTGCCCCGTGCTCCATCTTCCTCTCTGCCACCCGGCTGCTCAGCATTTATCAGTCAGCGCAGCCCTGTTTGCTGGCCGCAAAGTGGTCGGCAATGGGCCCAGCTCCTCGGCTAATCTCGAGGAGCTGAAAACACTCGTGAAAACAAATCCAGGCTTGGAGAAGTAGGAAACCGCCGTTTCCTTCTGTTCCTGTTGCCCACGATAACAAGCCAGCCACTGAAGCCAGTGCTGAAGCAGCGAGAGGAAGAGGGAATCTCTTGTTGTGCAGCATTGCTTGTGTTTGGAATGCAGCTGGCATCCCAAAGTGCTCACGGGCTCCTTTGCTTTGGGACCTTCTAGGTGTCACTTTTTCCACGGAGGTGCTGGAGTGGAGAGAGCCGTCCATGATGCCGCTCTTCTTTCTRCTCCTTCTCTCCCCGCTCCCAGGTAGGCTGTTCTGTGCCATGTCCTGCCCACATTTGGTCTGCAGGAAGTAATTGGAATGGGAGGACTGAGGGTTTGTTGAAACCTAGTTTCTAGGAATGTTTCGTGGACTTGCTGGAAAACTTGAGTTCCTTTCTTGATCTTGGTCCATCGGGGTCTCCAGGGCAGGGGCTTGGAGGTGGTCTGGACCTTTCCAGAGACTCTGGGGAGATGGAGAACCCCTTTCCTTCACTGGGCTCTGTCATCCTTGGGGACCTGGGAGAGGTTGGGACCCAGAGAGACAGGGGAGCTCCTGTGTCCTGAGGAGCCTCAACTTGCCTGGGAAACCTCTTGAGCGTAACCGTGGGCAAGTCACCACACGGTCTCAGGTCACTCGCATCAGCCAAGGTTGGGGTCCTGCATGTTTGGGGAGAGCCTGTGCCGGTGGGGTGGCAGAACTGTAACGCATGTGACTGCTGGTGCAGCAGCAGTTGGTTTGATGGGGTGACCCCTCCAGCTGAGGTGAATGTTTCCCTGGTTTGTGCGATGCAGGACTGGGGGAGCGCAGCCACCAAGAAGACTTCCGTTTCTGTGGTGAACGAAATCAAACAGAGAACAGCTCTGTCATCTACGAGCACGGTCCCGCCACCATCTCCATYGAGAACACGGCCCAGGCACTCACAATAAAAAGGCCCTTTTTGCCCAGCCACAGAAACACTTATTACAAGTACAACTTGCCTCTGCCTTTGGGCAGGTACCGCTTCTGTGTCTACTGGTTCAAGCCCAACAGGACCCTCAAACTCGTGTATGGAAAGCAGCACTTTCTGTTGGGAAAAGACTTGTCTCATAACAACATACGGAGCAAAGAAAACCAGAAGACTGAGAAGAACAGCAGCTCTATCTTCAATGTTTCCTATATTATGAAGGGCAAGAGGAACACATCCCTTGASAGTAGACCTAATTTCTTCTTCCCTGGTAAAAGCACCTCAATGTTATTTTAATGGAGGAAGAGAGAATTTCATGCCCAAACCACTCTGCCCCTCAGCAGAACAACTCTGTTGTATTGATAATTTGTTGTCATGCGATGGTCTGTGGATACTGCTCAGGGTTGATAAGTAGTAGAAGTAGTTTTGCTTGAAGCAACCTAAAAGCAGGACCCCCCCCCACTCACATTTCCCTGGGTAAGCAGGTTCCTAAAGATGAAGGCCGAAGATTACTTAGATTTTCCAAAATGCCCTTGGCCGCTCAAAATCCAGGGGACCCGTGTGCCTTGCAGAGGTCTCCAAGCCTCCCATCTGTACTGCTAGACATCYAGATAAGCTTGACCGCCTGGCCTCAGTATCCTCTCCTGCAACTGGGCTCCATTCTGGCTGCCCAAGGTGGTCAGGAGAAGTTCCCTGGGTCCTGGTCTCTGGTTGCTCTTCTGGGTACAAATCCTGAGGGCCACCCTGAAACCGTCTGCTCTCTGCAGCCTGTGGTATGCGAGGGCTTAGTCCCTTGGGGAGTCAGCCCACGGCCCGAGGGTGGCTCGGGCTATGGAGGATGCCGGCTCTGCCCGCTTTTCCCAGTGTTTCCTTTTGTGCTCTCACCAGCCACGCCGGAAAACATGCCTGTCTGGGAGCAGGACGTAGAGAAGGAGCTGAGCGACTTAGACAGGCTYGTGGGGAGGTCCCCTGTGGCGGCTGCGGGAGCCCCAGGGCACAGAACCTTTCGCAGGTGAGTTCCTGGCTCAAGCCATTCCCAAACCCTCCTCTTTAGGCTCGTGGCCTCCTGCCAGCTGGCCCGATGCAGCCYGCTGAGGCCCTGGTGAAGGTCAGGCAATGACTTCATTAAAGCAGAGGGTATTTATTGGGACTGGCCATGGTGCACCTCTCTTTTTTCCTGGCTGGATGATGGAGGCCTTCAGAGCAAAGCTTGTGTCCGCTGTCTTCCACTCACTCTGTGCCCTGCTTTTCCCCAACAGCAAACTGCAGGAGTTTGAGAAGAAGCTGGCCAAGGTGGAGTTTGAAGGGCAGAACCGGACTTTTGGGCAGGCTGCCATGCACGCAACTGTCCTGAAGATCGAACCTGGTCACGCTCCTCAAGATGTGGCCTTTGCTTCCCAGAGAGAGGTGAGTTCTTGCTGGGAGCTGAGAAGCAGAGCATGCAAGGATGAAAGCACAACTAAGAACTGGGCTCCTTGAGAGGTCTTTGGGGTGAGGAGCTGCAGCCATGATCCCCACAGCTCAGCACATCCGTTCTGGGGATGGAGGCACTTGTCAGAGCCCTCCTTGTTCTTGACCCTTTTTGCTGGCTACAGTGACGGTCTGGCTTGTAACCCCCTGGGAAAGACCTTTCCATACCCTCCCAGGACCTTGCTGGGAAGGAGTTAGCAGGAGAACAACAGGTAGGGGCATGGAAATGTCTCCTGAAGCGGCCTAGAGGGGCTGTGGCAGGGACGGGAGGAATGACTGTATCAAGGAATGGGACTGTAGTCCGGGGATCTCTGGCCGTGCTATGTCAGCTAATGCCCTAACTCCTGTGTAGCCTGTCCTGTCAGTCTTGGTCCTCCATCATCCTCAGACACCCTCCCAACCTGTGCTCTTCAATTGATTTCTTGCTGCAGGAGGGCAGAGAGGTCCATGGCTTCATGGTGGACCTGCCCAGCAGCCTGTTCGTGAAGGTGAAGGACAAGGAGGAGATGGTGGAGCACAGGGTGCTCCTCATGGATATCAACAGCCAGACCATGTTCCAGGTAATGGCTCACAAATAAGTGCAGAGAATTCTTCTCTTGGTGTCCTTGCTAGCTTTGGCCACTCTCAGCATCTACAGCATCTCCTCCAGTAAAGCCGTTGCCTTTACCTCTGCTGCTCCTGCAGCTCTTGGAGATCCTCAGCGAGCCCCAAACAGGTTAAGCTTGTGGCACCTGAGCCAGGTGGGCAGCCGCTCGCTTGAAGAAGGTGCTTGCAAAGATGCTGAGCTGAAGAAAACCATAAGGCGCTGTGGGGGCAAACTGAAGACGACCTTGAGGTGCTGCGGGATGTGCTTGTCTTCAGCCAGATGCCAAACCATGTAGAAACAGGGCAGGGGAAAGGAGACATGGTGCCAATGCTGCTGTTGTTGGGGTGGCATTCATCTGGCTTCACTTTATAGTTGACAGAAAGGACCTAGTGTGTGGGGACAGGTTTTGTGGCCCCATGGTTGAGATAGATGGTCGCAATGTGGAAGTGCTTTTGCCTCTCTGAGAACTGGAAGGAGTGAGCAGGAGGAGAGCAGACATCTATAYTCAATAGAAACTGCTGCCAGGTGGACCTGAGTCTCAGTGCGTGAGCCACTGATTCAGGAGAGAGGCCTGRGGACTGCGAGTGTAAGGTAGAGACATGACAAGGAAGGAGGCATGGGACCTCTGTCTTCGGGTTCCTGGGAGTTCTCGCTGCCTTCGTGCCTGGCAGCTCTCCTTTCCCACTTTGCCACCATCACCTTCTCTACTCCCACAGGATGAAAACAGCAGTCGTGTCCTGGGTGACAAGGTGGTTGGCATCTCCCTGGTGGACACAGTCGTGGCCAACCTCTCCGATCCTGTGGTCCTCACTTTCTTCCACAAACAGCTGCCGGTAGGTGGGGGAAACAGCCTCATTAAACCTTTCCACTCCAGGAGTAGAGTGACAAGAAAAGGAAGACTCAGACACTGCCAGCTCAAAGTATGGTCCCACTGTAGCAGCTCCATGTCCATATCCTCAGCCTCCTAGTAGAATCTAGTGAGTGTTCTCAGGAGCTGTACCACAATCACATTTGAATCCTGTGCTCTCTCTTGGGCTCTACCTGCTCATGTCTAGGAGATGCCACTTTGCAGATGCACCAGAGAATGATCTTTGTATTGAGCCCACATTCATGATATGATCCAGTTTGTCTCCTGGAAACTTCTAACCTCCCGTCCAATCTTTTCCCCTACCTAACTTGCTGAGTATGTGACAAACCCAGAAATGCATCCYGATTGGCTCTCTGCTTTTGTCATTTCAGAGGAACGTGACCCCACTGTGTGTCTTCTGGCAGGAGGACACCACGTGTGAGTAGCTGGGTGTGGGAGCTTTGGCCTCTGCCTGTTGAAGTGGGACGTTGTCTTTGCTCATTCTGCTGTTGTGGGTACTGACAGCGGGGAACCAACAGGGCTGACGCAGCTGGTGTGTCCTCACCTTTCCACCATCCCTGCTAGTGTTTGAGGTCATTTGCACCTCCCTTCCCTCCTCTAATTTGAGGGAGCTCTCTCTAAACTTGTCCCAGGGGGTTATTTCAGGCTTTTTCCTCTACAGCTACCTTAGGAGCTCTTACCCTCTTCAGGGATGCATGCTGACTGCTCTGAGCATGGCAATCCTGCATAAATATTTTTTTCTTGTCACTCTGTGCTCTGCATGGGGCCAGCTAGGACCCCACCTTTGTCCTCTCCCTTACCGTGGACACCTTGCTCTGAAGCTCAGAAAACTTTTCCGCTGCATTCCCGCTGCTCACCAAGCTCTTTCCCTTGCAGCAAACGTTGGTAAYTGGAACAGCTATGGTTGTACAACAGTGAAGGGGGATAAACGGACAGACTGCAGATGCAACCACCTCACCTACTTTGCTGTGCTCATGGTGGGTTCTGCTTCCCCACAGCTCTCTGCATCCTTCCCCTCTGCGGAACTTCTCCCTCATCATGATTCTTGTTCCTCTTTTCTCTCAGATATCCTCCCCGGAGATCACCTATATACACAGGGCTTACCTGAGTATCATAACATACGTTGGCTGTCTTATCTCAGCTTTGGCATCCATCTGCACCATCTTCTTCCTTTATTTCAGGTATGGCCCTGGGATCTTAGTGTAGACATGAGTTATCTGTCTGACAGGTCACCCTATGCTCTATGTGTGCATCATTGTGTGGGTGCATGCTTTCCTTGGTTGTTAGACCTACCTGGGACCAAACTTTACAAAAACAGATGGTAGCCCAGCTAGAAACATGATGCAGGAGCCAGGTTTGCAGAAAGTATTAGATCCTCATCTCTAGAAACCAACCCTCTTTGTCAGGCATCCAGGAGAGTGCTCTAAATCATCTGTTGTTTTCCGTGACTTGGAAAAATGAGCTTGGTTATTATCATGGATCCAGGAAACAGAGGCCTGCAGAGATCAGTTCAAAGATCTGTTAGAGAACAGGGTGTTCTCTCAAATAGTGTCACTAATCCTACATGGATGACAGGCTGAAAATATGTCCCCCCATGATCTGGATTTGCAATACAGAGCTAGCTGGAAGGAGCTGGATTTGTATATATAACAGTGGTTGCCATGTGTGGGATTAGGCATGTAGCCTCCTAGCACTAGCAGAGGCTCTCCTGACTTTTCTAGTTACAGTGCCTTACTTCAGCAGGAGCCTTGGGGTGTTGTGGGGCACTGAGCTGAGGTGTGGTGGTGAGATCTCTTCCTCTCCCTTTTCCAGAAGCAAACAACGAGACCAAATCACAAGCATGCATATCCACATGAACCTGCTGTGTGCCATTTTCCTCCTGGATGTCAACTTCCTCATCTCGGAGCACTTGGCTTCCAGCAGCAGTGAGGCAACCTGCAGAGCTGGGGGGCTGTTCCTGCACTTCTCTCTCCTGAGCTGCCTGACGTGGATGGGCATCGAGGGCTACAACCTCTACCGACTCGTGATTGAAGTCTTCAACGCCTACCACAATCACTTCCTCCTCAAGCTCTGCTTAGTGGGCTGGGGTGAGTTGAGGGGAGGCAGAAACATGTCTAAAACATGTCTGTTGCTGGAGCAACAGGATATGAGAGTCACACAGGTAGAACCAGATTCTTACGTTATATGATGCCTGAATGGGGCAACAGATTCTGAGCAGAAGAGTCTTTCTATCAAGGCAGAAGACTTAGTGCCTGAGAGCAGAAAGTGGAGCTCTGGCTCCAAGGGCAGTTCACACTTGGGGGTGGCACAGCAAGGGAAGCATGTGACAGCCACTGCTTGGAGTCTTTAAGTAGCGATGGGATGTTTTCCTTCTGAAAGGAACAGCTAGGAGAGACAGTTTTYGAGAAGGAAATACCAGACTATCCTCACCTTGCTTTGGGCAGGAGGATGCAATAACAAGGTCATATGATTTTTTGTGCCCTAAAAGTCTGTCTCTGGGAGACCCGCCAGCTGTGGCCTGTGCAGCACAGCTCACTCCTGTCTAGGGCTAAAGCTGGGCATCCTTGTTGCGTGCTCTATCCTTGATTCATCCTAAGGAGAGAGGACGCCATATCAYGCTCTGTGCAAGGGAAAGGGACAATGAAGTCCTTCCAGTAGGTCTGAGGACCAGGGAATGATGGCTGCTACTTCATTCTGTTCTTCATACCCAGGTATCCCCTTCTTTTGTGTGATGTTGATCTTCTTTGCTAACTGGACGAACTATGGCCCATTCTCCATTCCAGTCTACGAATCCATTGGTGGCAAATCCACTAATGCAACCATGTAAGTCATGGGAAATGGGTTACTTGGTCCCTGGTGTTAGAGTCAGCTGGTTGAACCATTGATATGTCCTACAGACTTTCCTGAGCTTCTCAGGCTGTGTGTTATTGGCTTCTTGGGGACTTTGCATAAAGTGGGGAGAATAGCCCTCTATGTTCAACTGGGCTGGGTGCTGAGTTTGCCAGGCACCTTTGTGTCAAATTCCCCTGACCTGTCCTGTTTGTCCCCCCGAATAAACAACAAAGCATAACCCTCTGCCCTTTCTCCACCCTCTAGATGCTGGATCACAAGCCCTCTGATCCACAATGTAGTGAACCTTGGTTTCTTCAGCCTGGTGTTCCTCTTTAACTCAGTCATGCTGGGGGCCATGGTCCGGGAGATCCTCAGGCAGAACAAGAAAGGCCACAAGATGAAGCATGTCCTAGCCCTGTTTGGGCTGAGTGTCTTGCTGGGCATCCCATGGGCATTGGTCTTCTTTTCCTTCACCTCTGGCGTTTTCCGCCTTGTCTCCCTCTACATCTTTACCACCATCAACTCTCTCCAAGGTGAGTCTGTGGCCATGGGCTCCTCTGAAAGGTGCAAGTTGCCTCAGGGCTTTTGTGGGGTATTGAGAGGACCAGTGGTGACAGGCACAGAGAAGCTGGCCTTGGCAGACTGGCCAGATCATTCTTGCATCCTATTTTTGCTGGTCCCTCAAAGGGCTTTTTCGCTCACCCTTTCTTGCCCCTCTCCCAGGTTTCCTCATCTTCCTCTGGTACTGGACAATGGTGCTGCAGGCAAGAAAGTCCACTGACTCCCAGAGCAGCTCTGACAGCATGAAACTGCAGCCCAACAGCAGCCAGAGCCATCCYGACTGAGCCCTCGCGCCGCTGGTGCCGCGGGGCTCCCTTGCCAGCAAGCTCCGGCCAGGAGGACGCTGGTGGGGAGGGAGCTGGAGCCGTCTTGCTTTGCTACCGCACCTGCCCCACACGGCTACTAGGAATGCAGAGGAACCTGCAGCGGGGTCCGGCTGCGCCCTCCTGCCTGCTTCCCGCCGCACCGAGCACCCCGGCATGGTGGCGAGCGCTGCCCCTCGCCCGGCACCTGCCAGTGCCGCCTCGCTGCGCGTTCGCTCCGTGCCGGGGCCTGGGCYCTGGGCTCCCGCCTGGGTGCAGCTCGGGGTGCCTGCACAGGGCAGAGCTGCCGGGAGACGGGGCTGGTTCCTGGGTGGAAGGACATGTATGGTATGGGGCAGGCTCTCCTTGCTCGTGCGGGGAATGAGGGCTGCAGTGACCGGCGGAGGACAGAGCTCCTCTCCCTAGGAGGCCACCTGGTTTCTCCTCCATCATGCCCAGGCCTGTCCTCTGCAGCRGCTGAAAAAGGCCCCATTCTAGCCCCTCGTGGTGGTGGAGGTTTCCGAGAGGGTCCTTCCCCAATGAAGACTGAATAACTCTGTCCCAGTGATACCCTCCAGCAGCTGGATTCATCTATTTTTGTTATTTTGTTGAATTGTTTCTATATTTTTATATGGTGTAGAAGATTAACATACGTGCTTGCCCATCAGAACTGTGCCCATTAAAACATTCCTGCTCTGACGGTGGCTCTCCCAGCTCTCTCTCCCATAGGTGTGTGGGTATACCCTCCACGCAGGTGAGCTTGGCTGGAGCCGCTCAGTGCCATCCTGCTTCCTTTGGATCAGCCTGGCACCAACCGAGGTGGCCTCCTCAGCATGCCCAGGAGCATGAGCAGCAGCATCTTGGAGCAAGAGAAACCCGAGGCAGGGAGGGATGGATAGCGGTGGGGGTTGCTCTGCTCCTATTTGAGCACTGGAGCTCTCCAGGCATGGAGATTCCCCACTTTGGATCCCTCTTTCAGTGTCTTGGAATACCATGTTCACCGTGATTTTTTTTTTTTTTTTTTTTTTTTTTTTAAATTTCATGGTACCTAGTGGGTATTTTCTAAGTCCCAGCCTGTCCCAGTTGCTTCTTGGCCCTCCAAGGTGTGGGGACTCTTCCACCCAGAGGCAGGATGTAGTGTTCACCTTTGCTGATCTTCACACAGTTTCTTGTAGCCCATTTCTCCAGCCTGTGTAGCCCCACACTCCAGCTGAGGCTGAAACAGATAACGATGTTATCGGTGAAGCATCACAAATGCAATTTTGATGAGATCTGAAGTGAGAAAGGAGGAGGGTGGAGGTTTTTTCAAAGGGGCAGGAAGTTGCTGTGCTGATCTCTAGTGGTTATTGACAGGCAGGCAAGGGGAAGGCTTTGCTTTGTGGCATCCCACAGGGCCAGGACTGTTCCCACCAGGTCTCTTGCTCGCTCTTGTGCTGAACACAGCCATCCTGCAGGCCGGTGAAGAGCCCAGAGCTCCTAAATTTGCAGCTTGCAAATACAAGATCGAATCTCCTCACCCACCAGCTTCTCTGCAAAGCTCTCTTGGTGGATAACCTACCTCTGTCCTGCTCCGAGCATTGCCTGCAGCCAGGAGAAGACCTTCTTGGAGAAGACTGTCTACTCTGGGGTAAAGCCAGGCTTTCCCCTCCCAGTTCCCATTGGCGTTGAGAAATCCTCACGGTCCACCAACTAAGTGGGACCTTAGTGGGGCCTGTGTTGTCACCGACTTGGGCTTGGTTTGATGTCCCCATTTGCTCACACCTCCTTGCTACCTCTGAGCTTGGGGACATTTGGCTTATGGGCTCGGATGCTGGGCTGGTGGAATGCTCAGGAGAGCGGGAGTTGTCTGGTGGCAGGGTGGCCATGGCCCACCCATGGAAGGGGCCTCATGTGGCTTGGCAGCTCATCCTTGTGTCGGGAGAGCGGGGCGAGGGGCTCCGGCAGTGTGCGGCGGGCACGGCGGGCACGGCTGGCAGCGCGGCGGGGTGTTTGCCACTCGGCAGGAGGGCGTGGGGAGGTAGCGGAASGGAAATGAAGACACCGCCATTGCCTCCGGAGAAGCCACAAACCGTGGGGAGCCTCTGAAAGACCAAGAGAGGAGCTGGCGGGGGGCCCGGCAACATGAAGCGCCTGCTGCTGAGCGGGGTCCTGCTGCTCCTGCCTCTGTGCGGTGAGTTGTGGAGCGGTGGYACCGGCCGTGCTCCGCCTGGGCAGCTCACGCATCCCTCGGGGAACAGGTCAGCTCGTGGGCTGCTGGCAGCAAGAGGAGGAGGACAGGGCCCGCACTGAGGGTCAGTTGCTGGGACGTGCGGAGAGCCGGGGAAGGAAAGCGGGGAGCAGAGGGCTTCTCCAGCCACTTGCTTTTCTAAAACTTGTGCAGTTTGGACATTCAAGCCAGCCTCTGGTCAGGACTGACCCRGCTTAATGAAATGTGTGAAGAAACCTCTGTCTCTGCCCCTGCGAACGTGGTACCTGCCGGTTCCCCTGCTTTCCCTCCGGGAAAGCAGCAGAGAGGGATTGCTGTCCCCACAGCACCCCATGCCTGACCCTGGATGTCTTCTTTTCTTCTCCTTTTTCTCACACCCTCTTCTTCCAGATGTTGCCAGAGGGCAGGAGAGCTGTGATGGTGAGTGGCCTCTGCACCCTTGTGTCTGAACCCGGGGGTAGCCTTGACCCTTTAGCTGGGGGGAAGGTGCCCACTCCTGCCTTGCTGCTGGGAGCACTGCTGGGGCCACGGTGGTGGCCACCACTTCATGRTGGTGAAGGGCGGTGGGGCAGAGTTGTCTCCATGCTCCTCTCACGTGGCATTCTGCACGTTCCCTTTGCCAGCCTTGAAAAGGGGGGACAACAGCTTGGAGTGCTGTAACACCACTGTCGATGCAGAGGAGGAAAGCAGGGTGAACGTGACGCTGGCTGCCTGGTGCAAGGAGCTGCAGCAGGCCAGCAGCCCGGCGTGCAGGTGCCTGCGGGAGAAGGTGCACGGGTAGGTGAACCTGTGCCAAGGCCAGCACAGCCCCATTGCTGTTGCCTCTGATAGATCTCTCGGCACCACAGGGTTTTGCAGTCTGCCCACTTCTCCAGAGGTGAGAAGATGGCAGGGGTGAAAGTTCTACTGGTGAATGYCAGCAGAGCCATCCCCCGTGATGTTGTCTTCTCCTTCTTCCCTTTGGAGGTGAGAAATGCTCATCTTTCCTTTCTGAACAAGCATTAATGAGACAAATTTAAGTCAAGAGTAATGCTGGCAGGTCCAAAGAAGAGAAGTGACAGGGACAAGCCTTATACCGCCAGGAAGCAATCCTCCATGGTTGTTCCCTGGTACAGGGCCCCAAGAGGATAAACAAAACAGGGATGGGGAACACAAGCAAAATCCGACTTCCCAGGAAGCTCTTTGAGTCCCTGAGCAGTCAGAAAGCGCACGTGGTGGTGACGGTGCTTGACATCACGCAGCTTGTTTTATTCAAGGTAAGAGCTGTTGTTTCTGCTGGCCTTGCTCCTGCCCTTGGCTGTCTTAGGCACTAACATGAAAGTCATCCGCTACCTGCAGCTGCCAGCAACGAGAACATGGGTCTGGCCTTTGGGGCACCTCCTGTGAGCCCTGGCAGGAGAGTCCTGGGCTCTTGCCTGGCTTGGCAGGTGCTGGAGAACCTCTCCTGCCTGGCACAGGACAGGGGCAATAGCCTGCCTAGCTGGCCTGGCTATTGCTGGGAGGGRATTGTAGGCTCTTGGCAGGGAGAGGAGCCAGGCAGAGCAGCTCATGCAACACTGCCCCCACTGAGTAGGAGACTGAACAGACACGGCACATCCTGGACAACACGGTTGTGGGCATCACAGTGGGAGCCACGAAGATGACCGGGCTCTAGGACCCTGCGCAAATCACTTTCGCCCATGGACAACTGCCCCGTGTAAGCCAGCCATTCCCTCCCCCTGCTCCAGTGCTGCTGCTTTCCACCTCACCGAGGCCTCCCAGCTCACTGCAGAGCATGAACCCCCAGTGTGTCTTCTGGGACCCTGGCACAGGTAATGGCCTCAGCGGGACTGGGTGCCTAAATCCACGGTGCCAAAGCCCGTGGAGGGAAGGAGGAAAGGCTGCTGGGGTAAAGCCATCGAAATATCACACGGAAACACTGAAATGAGTACAGAAAACCTCTGACTTGGGGATGTGGATGGGTCATCTGCCCTGSCATGGCCTCAGCCTCCATGACTCATCAGCTTGGAAACAGTTGAGATCTGGCTGAAACCTTATAAGGCCAAGGGGCTCACCTGGGGGTCATCTGTGGGGCTTTGTGTGTGTTGYGACTGTGCTCTGTAACCCAGAGAGATGGCTCCAGGTCAGAGGGCTTAGATGAGGAAGAGCTGCTAAACAGCAGATATCCATACAGGCAGAACAAGGTGGATCCCCAAAGGTCTTTTTAACCTCTTGACATCACTTGCATGTCCAGGTGTCTAAATAAGAGAGCTCTTCTCTAACTACATCTTATTTTACTCACTGCTGGCAAGGAGGATGCCATGCTGTGGTCATGGATACTTCATGGRCAGACAAGCCACTCACCAGGGGTGCACCATGCCCTTTGCAAGCCAAGGCAAACATAGTCTCCATCCTACCATCTCCTTATGTCCRAGAGACTGTTTTATCGTCTCAGCTATGGTTTGAGGTCTCTCTGGTGGCTCGTAAGGATGAGCTYATTGCAAGGGTTTTATACTTTTTTGCTTTGTGCTCATTGCTTTCCCCACATACCATTTGCAGGCCAAGGAGGAGGCTGGAACACCGATGGCTGTGTCACCGAACTTGGAGACAAGGGGACAATTTGCTCCTGTGACCATCTGACCTTCTTCACCCTCCTTCTGGTGACAACCTCATTTTGCACAGCTCATGCTTTTACCCTGCTGGTTGCTGCCCGCTCCCCCTTGGCTGTTGGGTACCTGAAGTGTCATAGATTAGCTGCCCTTCCAGGGACAGGCAAATGTATCTGCTTCCCAGACAAGCCCAAGCCTCACCTCTTTGCAAGCCACTGCCCTAAAATTAAATTCAAAGCCAGCCTAGTGGCCTGGAGGAATAGGTTGATGGAAGATGTAAAGGATAGGAATGGTCTACTGCCTACCTGCAAATTGCCAAAGCAGTGAGACGTAGGGATCTGTTCTCCAGCTGAAGGATCAGAGACTGCTTGTGATCCATTGCCCTTAATTTATCTCTAGCCCCCGTCCCATAAAGAGGTTGGATTTWCTCAGACCCACCCTGCTCCCCTCTGAAACCTTCTTGTGGTCAGTGGTCCCACTGCTCTAACATGCAGAGATGTCACTGCASTGCTAACTTATCTCTGTTTCAGTTCCCCACCATAGCTCTAGTAGATGTAGGTGGGATTTCTACACCAGTTCTGGACGGGTCTGACTCAATGTATGTTTGTTCTTGGCAGAGTCCGACTCTGGACGGATCCACAGCACGGGCCTTGAAGGTTATTGCAAATGTTGGCTGTGGGTTAGCTGTGACTTTCTCAGTCTTCTCCGTTGTCTTCTACGTCTTCTTAAGGTAGGATGTGGTCAGCTGCACCCTTGGGCTCCACAGAGACTTGTCAGGCTCAGAGAYGAGAAATGTGGGACCTGGTGCACCCAGACACAGTGCCTCTGCATACGTAGATGTCACACGCTCCTGGGCATGCCAGGACCTACTTATCCTCCAGGGACAGGGGTGATTCTTCAAGGAAGTGGAACTGGGTACTCAAAGAGCAATATTGCCATGTGGCTGCTGTCCAGGGCAAGGGTCTTCTCCCATCAGAGTTTTCTGCTGTGACTCTTGCCATATCACATGCTGCCCCCGTTCCAGGCCCAAACTCCTGCTCTCTTCTCTCCTGTCATGCTCACCATCAGTGTATTCTGCCTTTTCTGCTCCCTCTGGTGTCTCTCAGGTGTACATACAAAAAGTTCAAGTCTGAAGAAGCCATCCAGATCAACTTGGCACTGCACATGAAACTCATCATCAGCCTGTTCCTTCTCAACCTGACCTACCTGTTCAACAATTGGATCTCTAGCATGAGCCCGCCAGGACTGTGCAAAAGCCTGGGGGGCCTCACCCACTACTGCCAGCTCTTCTGCTTCACCTGGATGGCTCTGGAAGGGTGTCATCTCTATCTCCTCTTCGTCAAAGTGCCTGGCACCTATATCCACCATTACCTGCTGAAGCTGTGCATCGTTGTCTGGGGTAAGCACCGTCTGCCCTGGGCCACCTGAAGCAAATGGCCAGACTCAGATAAGACCTGAGGGGTATATGGCAGTGCCACTGCTTGAAGTGTGCTCGTTGCCAGTGTCTTTGCTCCTGCTCCTCCCAGCTCTCCTCCCAGTAACTGCTGGGTTACTGCTGCCTGGGGGTCTACTTCCTCCTGGTGAGTGGTGCAATGATGCCATTCTCAGAGGACATGTGGGATGAGGGAGGACTCTTTGCAGTCCAGGAGGACTTTGTCTGGGCATGGGGTGCCCTACCTACAGAAAGGAGTCCTGTTGCTCTCACAGCCACATTGACATGTGACTTCCACTCTGAGCAAGAGGTTCCTTGGGGAGGACGTTTGCCCTTCCAGTGAGTCAAATTCAGAGGGTGACTAGGTCTACGTACCGGGGAGGGCAAACGTAAGGCCGGAGGGCCCAGGGGCCAGCTGCACACAGAGGCCCGGGGACGGCACACGAAAGACCGGAGGGCCCGGGGGACCAGCTGCGCATGGAGGACCGGGGAAGGCGAACGTAAGGCTCGAGGGCCTGGGGGGCCAGCTGCGCACGGAGGCCCAGGGAGGCCCCGGGGAAGGGGCCAGAGCCCAAGGAAACAGTTTTCTCTTCTGAATTTGTGCTTTAATATTAAATCTCTATCAGCTCTCTGAGCACTGTGAACTTAGTCTTTGAAGGTAATGAGCCAGCTTTCTTTATTTTCTTTATTTTAAGGATGTGCAAAAGTCTTTCTAGCTATTAAGTCCATTTGCCATCATTCAGAAGGGGGAAATACCCACAGAGACATGTTCAGGGCAGCGCTTTCTGTGTGCTAATGCTACATCATCTGCACACCAAGAACTAAGGAAAGCGGAATTTTGGTGGGAAAATAACTAATGTGAACACTTCAAGCTCYCCACATTTCTGAATGATTCTTTCCAGGCAGGAAGAAACAGGAAGGAAGAACCTCTCCTCTGCATTCAAGGATTCTGGAAATTTATTTTCTACAAATGAAACTGATTTAGAAAGAAATCTCCCATTTCTTTCTGGGAGCGCATGAAAGCTCCCATTTTCCTGCTCTGAGCTGAGATGATTACTACTTCCAAGACCTACCATCTTCCCAGTGTAAGAAAGATCCTGGGGAAAAACAGCTACTGCATCCCATGGTCCCACACCAGCTGGATGGAGCCTTACAGGGCATCATCAAGCCCTGCTTTTGCCCTGTTTTGGTTTTGTCCCTGTGCATTAGTTTTCCCAGAGACATTTCAAATCTAGTCAGTGTGGACCAGGAGAGGATGAGAAGGTGCTAGGGATACTATAGGGAACAAAACCACCTTGATATGGTTCGTCCTTTGAGCACCATTTGAGGCCATGGCCTCCTTCCCCCAGATCCCCGCTAAGAAGATCAGGGCGGGCAGCTTGCTATTGCCATGTTTATTTGGAAACAGCGATTTTCTACATCGTGTGTCTCTTCATGGTGATGGCTACAGCAGCCACACTGAACAYGCCAAGCACACACAGCAGAAGCAGGGCCCCAGGAAGCCACATACTGCGTCCTGCCAAAGAGAAGARAGAGTGGTTATGTATCTTGATGTCTTGAGGAGACCCTGGCTGGTGATGGCATCTCCCAGCTGAGACAGGAGTCAGAGAAAGGGTGTCATCTTTTTTGGTGGGTTAGAGATTCTGGGCTGGAGGTCTGCCAGGGCCCTGKGGGAACTAATAGGCCTTGGCTGCCTTGACCAGCCTCACCTGGGGCCTCCACTCACACCCTCTGCCCACTGGCTCTATATTGTAGGTGKGCTTGTTGCCAGCCCTATTCCTGGAGTGCTGTTCGGCTTTCCTGGAATGACCTTAGTTCCTAGAAGGAGCCTGGCTTGATGTTAGGAGGAAGTTCTTTTGAGGAAGAATCTCTTTACTGTGAGGGTGCCCGAGCCCTGGMACAGGCTGCCCAGGGAGGCTGGGGGGGCTCCTTCTCTGGAGGTCTTCAAAACCCACCTGGATGCCACCCTGTGCCCCGTGCTCTGGGTTTCCCTGCTGGAGCAGGAAGGCAGGACTATGGGATCTCTAGAAGTCCCTTCCAACCTTAACTATTCTGTGATTCTGTGATTCTGTGAAGTTGACAAAACAGCCTTCATTATCCCAAGTGCAAAAAAAAAGCTCTGTTTTTTTKATCCCTTCTAGCTTTGCTCTCATGCTCAGCCTCTCCTTATGCCTTATCTGGCAGCAGCTCACGCAGCACTAGTTTCTCCATGTTTTTCTGGTTGCTAGAGCTTGCCAGTAACACCTGAAAGTCCCCCTGCTCATGTGCAGAACAGCAACTTTTTTCACAGTTTTCTTAAATCATGTGTAATTACCTAGACATTTTTGAGTTGTTCTCATCTTCCCTGGAGGGACATACATACCCTCTGAGTCCCTCTGGTCAGCCTTAGAGAGGAGRGTCTCTGCCCTTGGGGAGGGAGCAGCCAGCAGGTGGATGGGCCCATAGGAGACAATCTCATTGTAGTCATCTGCCAGTGCTCGCTTCTTCTTCAGAGGCCTTGGGCATTGCTGTCAACAAAGCAAAGGGAAGGGAGATGGGACTGCAGGGCAGGGAAGCAGACTGCTGAATGGGCCGGGTAAGAGGATGATCTCTCCTGACGCTCTCCTCGTGGAGGAGGCAGATTTGGGGCTTCTGCTTGGGAAGAGTCAATATCCCAGAGCATGAAAAGRGACCTCAGTCTGGCCCTCCCCCGAGTCCCAATGTAAGACTGGAAACTTAAGTACCTAATAGAAAGGAAGGAAAGGAGAAAGGGACTCCCCAGTGGATTCAAGTCCTTATCACTTTAGATAAGGGCCATGCAGTGAGCTCCTTTCTTGGGAAGTGATTATTGTGCTGGGGTGCCTGAGGCCAGAGCAGAGCCCTTTCTCCACACATAAGCCGAGAGAGGGGCGGTTTCCCCAAGCAGGGCACAGTGTGGACAGCAGGGAATGCTCACCTTGGCACAGGACTCCAGGCTGTCCGGGAGACACAGCCGGACGCGGCAGTGCAGAAACACCTCTGAGWAACCAACAAACTGAAACATCTGAAAGCTGAACTTGGCCACGGTGCTCTCTCCAATGGCGTTGAGGTATGYCACTGTCTCATCGTGGGGACACCTGGGGCATGATGGCTGAGTCAGAAATGAGGAAGAGCAGCCAGGCTGGGATGCTGATAGCTCTCCCTTGCACCAGAGCACACAGGCACAAGCCCCCCCCAGGCAGAGCTGAACAGGAGTATTCCTGTCCCATGGTGCATGGGCATGGCCTTCCTTGGCTCCCTGCGTTTCCGTAACTAGAGAGATACCACTCACCCTTTCTCGATGAGATCATGCCGCACATCCTGGTAAGGATCTGAAGTTGGTGTTGCCCAGCAGTCCTCAACACTCAGGAGGAAGTACCTGAGCTGGTGCTGCCCTTCTATCTTCAACAAGACATAGATTGTGTCTGTGATGGGGATGGCTGCAGCCTCATGGTGATAGGGCTGGAGGTAGGAGGGGGTCTTGTACAGTCTCATGGTCACATTGAAGTGCCCTTCTTTGATTACAAACTGCACCAGCCTGAGAGGAGAGGAGTAGAGACGTCAGGAACAGAATGAAAATAAGATAGRATGGACTAGCACAAGTCAAGCCACCAGCATAGATGAAGGTCCTGCATGCACTAATTCTTTGTATGTAGAAGCTTCTCTGCTCACATCCCTCCCAAATAGAGCCACACTGCCTCACTGACAGCCTGGTCCTGAGCAATCTGGGATGAGGGGAGGAAGGAACCTTGCTGTGATATTCCTCTGAGAGCTYCTCACTGCCACCCCAAGGCCTTGGCCTCATTGAAGGCATCTGTTTTCCCCACAGGCCAGAAGATACCATGTCAAAGGCAAGATAAGAAAAAACACTTACTTGTCGATAGCAGTGAGAGCAAAGGGCACTTTCACCACCTGCTCATAGGCGTAGACACAGTCAAAATGTACCTCCAGCTGAAAACTCCGGGTGATCACGCCCCCGTGCGCTTTCCGCTCCGACTCGATGACGTTGGAGTAGGACACGTGGGAGCTGTTTTGCTGAAATGACATAGACAGTGAATCCCCAGATCACTTCTAAACTGTACACAAAGCTTCACATTCCAGCAGGGCTGCAACTTCTTGAGGATTCACTGGGTACATTCATTAGAAAATAGCCGAGCTCTCTCTGCTCCAGGCCTTCTGAATGTCTGTTGGGATTTTTCATGCTCAAACTGTATGTCCAGGAAGCCTTCATTAGAGCAGTCAAGACACAGAAGCCAGGTAAGGCAGCTCTCCTATGCAGCAGAGCGGGAGCACTGGTATCCCTGTACCATCCCAGGACCTTGAGGAACACGGTAGGTGACCTAGGGAACCCTGAACTCAAGGGAAACTTTCATAGATATCCACTACACCACAAAAGGGCAGTTCAAGGACTCTTCTCTTTGTATGACCATGTCAAGCCCATCTCCTGCCAAGTGACACASCCAGCCATGGCCATGTGCTCTGAAGGATTAAGGAAGGGATCGGAGCACTATAGCCAGGACTGTAGAGTTCAGAGGACGCAGCTACAAAGCTAAGGCCTGTTGCCACCCTGAGACTCCCATGCTCTTCTGAATGGGGATAGACGTGTTGCCCCCAGTAGTTTAGCAGATGTAGAAAAGTCTTCTGATAGTCCTCACAGGAATGTTCCAAGGGCTTTGAGGCCCTGAGATAAAAGAAAAAGCCACCAGCATTTTCTCTTGCTGTCSCTACCCAGCAGGGCCACTGAGTTCTCACGTTCTAATCCAGGTTATGCAGACAGGCTCTGTGCCGCAGTCTCACCTGAATCACTGATCCRCAGGCAGTGTGGTTTTCACCTGTGAGAATGGCTGCAAAGAACAACTTGCCCTCTTCTTCCCTTTCGGAGACCTTGCATGCCTGGTTCTTCAAGTGGACAAGTTCCTGGGGGATTTTCAAGAGTTCAAACACCTCTTTCCTCACCATCATCTTCATGTGCTCCTCCTCGCAAGTCAACTTCAGTATCACATCTGGGGGAAAAAGCCATCTGCAATAGCAATAAGGAAGAGGCCTGAAGGAGCCCTACGTCTGCTATGGTCCCACAAAGCTCTAGAGACCTTCACTCCAGCCTTGATGGAGGCTGCTGCTAGGGACCCACAGAAACACTGGGCAGAAGCAAAAGACAAATGTTTGGGAACCTGCAGAAATTAATGGGGCTCTGAGCTTTTCCACCTGTTGCCTAAGGCCTGCACAGGTCCACAGCTACTGTTACTCTGAATACATACCATCCTTAAACTCAAGGCATTACTTGAARAGGTTTTGATTCCCCTCTGTGTGGGCTGTCTACAGAATCACCGCGGTCCGCCATGGGAAGCAGACAGGGACAGCAATCCTCTGCTTCAGATGAACAAGCTGTTTTTGAGCAGCTTCTGGAAGGAGCTGTCCTCATGCCTGCTGGAGTCCTTTTGGTTACGGAGAGCTTAAAAAGCTACCAGCCTGTGGTGTCCTGGCACAGCTACCACACCTTCTCGACAGCCCAGCTTTCCTTCACACAGGAATTAAAACTTTTGAGGAGGAGGGGAATGGCTGGTGCTTGTATCARCCTGCAATCAGGACACGGTGGGAAAGCAGGCACACTTGGACCAGGGCCCACGTTGTGCTCGTGGAGCCCTTTTGGACCAGGAGCAGTGRTAACATCAGTGCATCTTCACCTCCACCCTTCCCTTTGTGCTTGTGGACAGCGTGGGAAGGGCTCACCAGCATCCCCGGGCCCTGGCCTACCTTGGCAGAATGCCCCCGTGAAGCCCGGCTTGCAGCTGCAAATGGGTCGGTCCTCCATCACCTGGCAATCCCCTTGGTGCTGGCACGGGTTTGGGAAGCAAGCATCCAGGCTCCTCTTGAAGCGGGTGGCAAGCTGTTCCCTCCCGCCACGTGGGCTCACCAGTGTGGCTGCAGCAAAAGCAACACGAGGACGCTGGAAGGCAGCGAGGACCTCTACCCGCCGCGACGCAGTACCCGGAGCTCCCTGCAGCTTGGGCTCCTGCCTGGGGGATCCTGGCTTCTCGGCACCGCRCGGGCGCACGGCCACTCTGCTCTCGCAGCTGAGCAGGAACCTCCCACCTCGGCTCGCCCAGAA